AAAATGACAGAATAAGCAATCTTGATGTAATAGAGAGCTGCTTAAAGATGATGTTAGTTTGTTTTCAAACTTTTGCATTTTAACCATCTTGGGGATATTTAGCTAAATAGCTTTATCTTTGATGCTTTCTTCTTGCAATTTATCTTAACTGATGCTGTGTTTTACGTTTGTTTAGATTAATCTATTATAAATTCCCACTAACCTCTAGGTTAACCAGAAACATGCTTAAAATCCCATCTTTTACAGTGCAGCTCAAATATGGTCAACAGGGAAAAAACACAGACATGATGAACACTGTGATGCATGATGAGTGTTTGATAGACTCCATGAGAACTAATAAGCAGAATGTCTGTGTTGCCCAACAGATTTGCTCATAGGAAAATTACACAGTACCACTCCCAAAAATCTGTCAGCCCGACATTATGGCATCACAGACTTAACGGTAAAGCACTCCGTCATCTTCAAAGCCTCCAAACATGCCGTTTAACTCGGGATTACTTTGGATCTTTGTGACAAATACTCTTAATGATCAATTTCGTCCCTTTGAATGTGCCTTCCTTCACCACACAAGTGGAAAAAACAAGTTCAGCAACTGTAAATTGAGGGATTAGAGAAAAGCCGTGTTTAAACAGGTAGGTTTCGTTTTGACATGTAGTCGACAAGAGAAAGGCGCTAAATTCATCAAACAAGCTCGAGTCCGACCCTCAGAAGGAAAGCTGGAGTTTAGGAATGTGAAAGATTGTGGGAAACGTCGGCGCCACTATAACCAGCAGGACCATTCAGAAAACCCAATAAACAAACCAGTTTAATCTGGTGTTTGTTTTACTGCTCTGGTTCATCTGGTTGCATTGCAGCTGAGTGACGGGTCATGGCTACAGATAATGCTGGTGAACGCTGGGATAAAATCAGACATATTGTGGGTTATGTCTCGATTTAAACAGCAGCGTTTTAAAGAAGGAAGGCAGCAAATCTCTCATCTCTCATTTCAACTCGGTGACGACTCGTATGATCAAGAGCTTCAAATGAGACAAAGCTGCCCTCAAATGTTATTTATATTCATTTTAGCCCCAATCAGTTCACATTTAAAGCTGCAGGAGAATAATTCACTATTTTTACCCAAATAAAATAAATGGTTTTAAGTAAAAAATACATTAAAAGTGAACCACAGACGAAGAAAGTAGAGTCTGGATGTCCAGGAGCAAGAAATGACCCAGCCTTTAGATTCGCATTCATTCTGCCAGTCAGAGACAATCTTTTTTATAGCGTCCAGTGAGCTTTCAACTTAAACCAGCGCTACTTTACAGTAGCAAGAGGGCCAACATGGCCACCGATGGGTCAGCCGCCTGGCTAAACGCCGGGTTATCATCCATCAGCAGTTTATTGCAGTGAGTTGTTTGATTTATGCCCGATATTGAAGCGTGGTCTGCGCCATGTTATTCCACGCGACGACACAAGAGAGCCAATCAGGAACCAGCTGTGGGTCTAGATACGGCCGAGGCGGTGAGAAAGAGGGGGCGAAAAAGAGCGGGGATCCAGGTGGAAAAAGGGTCCCAGCGTTCTCACGCACCTCGCTCTTTGCCACAATGGCGGTCAGACAAACAGAACAAGCCGGTAAGGTACCAAACAGGAAATACGCATAGTGTAGAGCGGACGTAGATTTGACCAATCAGAGGCCTCCCATCTGCGGCACTGTCTGCAATCACCTACAATTTTGGAGAAGTGCAGCAGAGTCTGCGGAAGCGTTGGCGGGAATATCTGCATTAACTGCGATGCAGACACAGACGACCTGGTTTCTGAGCATAAACCCGCCTTTAGTTAACCTGACTCCGCCAGATGGATTTGCTCCGCAAACCTTCAGTTGAAGTAATTTTGGGAAGGGGCGAAAATACTGGTTAGCTGATTGGCCTATGTTGGTGATAGACGGCCAAATAAACCAATCAGATCAACGAAGCATATGACGTACTAACAGCCAGGCTACTCTTGCCGAAACCAGTCGGGAGAAGAGCAGAAACATCTTTTCCTCTGAGAAAAGCCTCCAGAGCAGTGTTTTGCTCTTCTTTCAGTGAAGAAATACTCTGTAATTCCCATAAAACTTGCTGGATAGCCACGCTAACGCTAGTTTCATCGGCTGAAGCCGCCATGTTCTTTAGACTGAACTGTCGCGCTTCTCGTTGCGTCACACCTCAACCCGCCTCAAAGCCAACGCTGATTGGACGTTCGTTTGGTGAACGGCTCCAAATTTTCTTCAACGGAGAGTCTCCAGACTGATCTGCGAGTGAAACCTTGAAAGCTCGCGAGATCAGGATGGTCTCACGAGACTAGCCTTTAGTCAAATCCCCGCTGGGGGGAATGAGCTGCCAGTGTGGGTCCTTAGCACGTTAAACCTGCCTCATTGTGTCTACTTTGTACGTCGCTTTGGATAAAAGCGTCTGCTAAAAGTGCATAAACATACAAACATAGATGGTTGGAGATCAGCATCTTAGCTTTAGCAATGGTTGCCTCTACACCAAGTTGGACAACAGCCTCAAATGCAGGAAACTATCACAACTGAAGGAACGGTTTTCAAAAATTCTCAATCTAGGTTTGACAACATTCAAGGATGTCCAGCAAATGCCAGGTGTGTCGTGAGGCTTTTTGCCACCAGCGCAGAGCTTGCTCAACAGTGGCAGAAGGTGAGTTCATAACAACTGCAGCAAAGCAGCTAGATCTAGATCATCTTTTTCCCTGCCTCCACACACCTGACCTGCATGGAAAGGTAATAAACAGGCTTTTGCAGCATTTGATGTCCAGGAGGAAATGCAGTCATTTGAATCAGGTGTGCTTGAATAGAGAAACATCTAAAACATGAAGGACAGTTGGCCCTGAGGACCAGGCTTAAGAATCGCTGTGATAAAACACAACCTGGGTTCTGTGTTGTTTTAATACGTTTTCCCATAATGAATCATTAACGGCACTACCCCATGAAGAACATGGGCGCAATCCGTCAACAGCAAACCTCTGAGGAATATTAGACCAAAGTGGAAGTGCGTCAGTCACCACAGCAGTGAGGAGGAGCTGGAAGAAGACGCTTCCTACCAAAAACTCATGATGTTCACATCTGGCACTCAGTATTAGGTAAATAAAAACATAATTTACACCCCTTTACGTGTTCTGGGTTTTATGCTAAAGAGCTTTAGCTGGTTTCTACATCTGTGCTTCTTTAGTTTTGTAGTTTTTCTTCCTGCAGGCTGTAGTCCCAGATCATCATGTGTTTTGGTTGCATGAGGACGTCCAGAAGGTTAAAGGCTGTCTGGGTTCAGCACAGAACAACCCAAATACAGAAAGGAGAATTTAGCACCAACAGTTCCCTTCTCTACAAAACACAGCATGGAAGATTTAATGCTTGAACACGACCAAAGTGTTTTTTTAAAATCCATTTCCCCATTTCAAAGCAATGGCCTCCAAACATATGTAGATAAAAGATAAGTTTGGAGAGATAGAGAAAAAACTAAGTTACAGATGGAGGCTAAAAAGGAGGGAAAACTATTAACTGAGCATAAGGAAAGTATCAAGGACAGCGTGTTCTATGGGTTTAATTATTAACTTTACATAAAGAAACACAGCAGTTATCTGCAGGTGGATTTAGTTTCTCATGAACACATCGAAAAGTAGGAATTAGGTTCATAAAGCAGCTAAAAACCAACAGTCAAAGCAACTAAAATCAACAAATCTCCAACAGCAGCTTGGAAGCTCATGTTCCAACCACAGCTGGTACTGTAGCTTCCTGTTTCTACATACCCATAAGAGAAAGTTGAAGATGAACATGGCATATTTGATGCACTGCATTCCACTCATGGCTCCCAGATGTGGATTTAAAGCTTCCAAAGGAGAAAATGTGAGCTTCGTACTCCGACTCAGCGAAAGAGGAGGAAAAACAGAGGGGGGGAAAGCAAAGTCTGCTCCCTGAGAGAAAGAACCACGCCCTGCAGCGGCTCACCTGGCTGTTAGTAAGAGGTGTTGGGGGAGGAGGAAAAGCCTGGAGGACAGGGTGGGTCTAAAGGAGTGGGCGGTGAGCTCTCCGTGTATTTTTAACTAGAAGTTAGAAAGTTGTGCAGCTTTATCGCTCAGACTGCAGGTGAAAGCAATTAGCAGACTCCCAGGTACAGAACTGTTCCTGAGGAAAAACATGGAATATCCAAAACACTCTGCGGAAAATCAAGGAAAAGGAAAACAGAAACTTAAAGGATTTTATTGGGTATAATTTTAAATATTTCGTACGGCCATTTTGGATGTGCAATAGTGGAATTAAATCAAGAGGAAATCTTTAAATGTTTCCAGAAGGACGGTTCTTGAAAAATTAAACTAAACTTAGCAAAGTTAACATATTAGGAAACAAAAAATTAACTTTTTTCACAACAAGATAATAAAATGCAAGAATATATTGATTATGTGGCTACGACTCAAGCAGGGATGGTGAGATGAAACCTCACGTTACATCGAAGCGAATTACTTCAACGAACCACGAGTTTAATGAGGATTCATGTGAACATGTCACCACCTACTGGTGAAGTGCAGAACTACAGTTAGTAATAACATACATTTTTTATTGTTTTTGCAATTGTTTTTCTGTTTTTGTTCTGAAATTGTTCATGATTGGTGAGTATAATGAAATTTTTTACATGTTTTTTTTGTGAGTAAAATGTCTTAGAATCTTTTAAGGTTCATTGTTGCTCTGTTGTTTTAGTGACTTAAGCTTAAGCAGACATTGAAAGTGTTTTTGCAACTTAGGAAATGATGAGCAAAATGGAATGTTTTTATTCAAGAATAATAGTTTTTACACAGTTTTTAGTTTAAATCTGGTTGGAAGTTATGTTTCCAACCAATCTTTTGGTTAAAACAACCAATCTAATTTGGCAGAGTTTTTAAAAGCAAACCAATACAAATTAGTCACTTTGGCCAAGACATTGTTAAATAGAATAGCAGTTTTAAAGGCTGGGTCTTACAGCGGACACCACTTTTAGCACATCTTTTCTTTTGAAAGCAATACTGCTGAACACTAATAATACAGCTGAAACCAGTGGCTCGGTCAAGTTCTGGTCATTATATTGTTTAATCTAACCAAAATAGTTTTAACCAACTAGATTGGTTGGAAAAACAGCCAATCTATTCTTATGCTACATTCAGACCACAAGCAGCAAAGGCAGAAGAAGCAGCTAGTTTACATGCAAAGTCAATGGTTGATGTGCATCAAGTCGCAGCAAAAGGTCCTACAGCGCATTGAGAAGCTGATCTGGGAGCCGGCAGGGAGTCAGACGCAGCGCTGCTGATGCAGATCACTATGATCACACCTCTAAAACTGTTCATTAACGCCTGAATTAAATTTACTTAAGTGGAAAATGCCTCCAGCTACAGCGAACAGTAGCGTAAAAAAACGCGAAGAGGTGATCGGGCCAGAGGCAGCTGCTGCTGGGGATTCCCAGTGACAGGGCATCGCTGGTATGTGGGGGTCTGCCATAGAGAAATAATATATGCAGGGTGGATGTTAATCTGGATGAACTGACTGCACAGATGAAGTTTTCAGGTGGACTTTCTCACTTAAAATACAGGAGAGTGGCGGCCTAGTGGTTAGGGCATAGGGCTTTGAATCCTGAGGTTGTGAGTTAAATCTGCCACTCCCACAGACTGCCACTCTGGGTCACTGACCAAGACCCTTAACCCCACACTGCTCCCTGGGCGCCACACAATGGCAGCCCACTGCTCCCCAAGGGAATGGGTTAAATGCAGAGAAGGTATTTTCCTTCTGGGATGATTAAAGTATAAAAAACAAAACAAATACTTGTATCGGGCGGGGCACCGATCC